TTTGTTGACAAACCAAACTCTCTTTCCAGTCATGTGTGATGAGCAGCACGAGTCTAAGTACCATTGATCCTTAAATCTTACTTCTTCTTTTGTCATGACTATCGATAACACTTCTTTTTTTCGTGTTTTGCAAGTCTTGCATCACTTTCTCGATTCTTTCTTTTGTTTTCAAGATAATCACTAGCATAGTGATCTTATTTTAGACAATTAAAGCACAAAGTATGACTCTTATCAGGTTTACTTCCATCATCTCTTCCTCTACCTTTAGCACCACCTCTTTGGTTTCTTTGGTTTATGGGTTGTCTTTCATTCGAAGGATTTTCTTCTTGACGATGACTCAAGCATCCCTTGTTCATGAGATATTTCGTCTTGTCTTTTGTCTTACGTGCATATATTTCAACAATTCTTTGTTCATGAGATTCAAGCGTCCCTTGAAGTTCTTCTTTGGTAATGCTTGACAGATCCTTCGATTCTTCTATGGCTAGAACCGCATGATCAGATTTTGGAAGCAATGACCTCAAGATATTTCCAACTATTGATCTTGATGTCAACACTTTACACATCATGATTTGACTCACTAGTTTTGTAACCCTAGTGAAGAAATCAAACACACTTTCACTTTCTTCTATCTGAAGCAACTCATACATTCTTTTATAAGTTTGTAACCTCACTTTTTTCACCTTCTCAACACCTCCAAAAAGTTTCTCCAAGATGTCCCATGCTTCCTTCGATGAATCTACATTATAAACTTTTTCAAAGTTGTCTGGATCAACACATTGATGCATATAAAGAGAGCTTTATAATCTTTCTTCTTCAAATCTTTATGTGCAATCTTTTGTTCATCCGTGGCATTGTCGTCAATTGGTGTTCCTCCATTCTTCATAAGATCCCGAACATCTTGGTAGCAGAAGACAACCTTCATATACTTACACCAATTATCATAATTCTTGTCATTCAAGATGGGAAGATTTGTTGGAAAATTCTCGTTTGAGTGAAAAGTCATTGCTCTATGCTTCCCAAGAATTGCAGTCAGTGCTCTATATACCACATGTTGGATTCGTTCTTGATAAAACATGATTCAATCACTTTCTTAATTGATTCAAGATCCTCATTCCTCACTCTTTACTCAAGTGATTCAACCACACTTTGGTTGCAACACAGTTTCTATGCACAAAGATTTGAAGAGAGTAGAAAGAAATGAAATAGAAAAATGAAGAGAGAGAAGATTAGTTTTGGGAGAAGAGAAAAAGAATGTATTGAATTAATTTTTACAAGTACAAAGATTTTTCCTATTTATAATGAGGTTACTTGCACATCAAGTTGTTTTAAAAGTAACTCCCTTCGACTTATTACAACATGCATTCGACTTTCTAACTTCGACTTAATACAAATTGTATTCGACTACCTATCGAATACACACAACTTCGACTGCTAATTTGATATATTCGACTTTCTATCAAATACATGTACATTCAACTACTGCACATTAAGTTCAACTCTACCAAAAACATATTGCTTCAGCTCATTCAAATTCTATAGCTACATATTCATGTTCAACACAAAGAATTACATATTTAACACATGATTACATCCTACCCAATTTTATATTTGTTTTATTTAATAACATGGGTATAATGTTACCTTCTATAACACTAAATTAACAATATATTTACAAAGTTGCCAATATGAGATCTTTTACATTAATTTTTCAATAAAACAAATGTAATATCACTTCAATAACATTTGTACATTAGTGTATACAAGTTTACTTGTTTCAACAAAAGTCTGTTTTTGTGGTGGACATGCATATGAATTAGGATATGATAAAACAAAACTACATAAAACGCTAAACCAAACATGTGCAATTAATGAATTGAATCAAGTTTTAATGAATGTAAAGTGCCATAAATATTGAATAACTATACAATTATAAGCACAAGCACGTACGTAATCTTCATCTAGTATACATACATAGAAAAATACAGTACTTGATATCTCAGTGAAGTTGAAAAGGATGTCAGATACGAATTCGCTTATTTCGGGATTGAAATGAAGCAATGTGGGCGCGCATTCAAAAAGAACACCGAGTTTGAAGTTTGCATTACCAATTTGTACTATAATTTTCAGTTTTCAGCCTTTCAGAAAAATGAAAATGCAAAATTTCTGACCAGTTGGTATATTTGCGGTTGAGTTTTATACAGAAAAGAGACAGGTAAGCTGCTATTACATCCTCTCACCTACCTTTTACACTCTCTTGTACGGTTTCTAAACTCATTGCCTTATGGATAAAACCACCAAAAGCTAGATCCATTGGGATAGGGTTTTCTACTTTTTCAGGTGTGTGTAACTACTTCAATTTCTTTTCTTAGGGTTTTTTTTTTCTTCATAATTAAAGTTAAGTGGAATCTAATTTTTAATAATAAAGGTTAATCCAAAAGTTTGTCCTACTTGTAGCTTGGTTAATATAGGTCTAAAAGTACAAAACTTGCTTTTACTCAAAAGTTTTGGTTTTTAGCTTTAATTAATTCACCTTAGTAAAAACTAGAGTGCATCCAAACATATAGCACAGAGCATCAAAGAAGTAAAGTTAAGACTTTTAAGTGTTTTACTTAAAAAGCTTTGAAAATTCAATTTAATTATATTTTTTAATGAAATTTTATAAAGATTTCTATAATGTAAGATATTATTAAAAAGAAATTTTAAAAAATTTATATTAAAAACATGAAATAAAAATTTAGTTTGAATAGTTGTATTAAAATGTCATTTTAGCTATATAGATCATCTTATTGATACTCTATTTTAGTATAAATTTTTTTAAAAAAATCACTTAACATTGAAGTAAATTCAAATGAGATTAAATTGTCAGTGTAAATTTATTTTACACCTAACATTCAGGCAAGTCATGTCAGTGTCAGTATTTTAAAATTAAAAGTACGATTTGATGGGATATACGTCTCTTATTTATTGATAATATAAAGATATTTTATATTGTCAGTGTATATTTATTCTTAATTCAAATAGTTTTTTTTATAAAAACCATTTTTAAAATAGATTTTTTTAAAAAAATTACAATTATGACTATATTTTGGTCTTTAATAACGTATTTTTATGTTATAAGATGTCAAAATTAGTCTTTTAACTTGTATAAAATAAATTTTAAAAAAAATAGAAAACATTTTCATAAATATTATTTTTGAAAAAAAATCTATTTTTTTAAAATTAAAACATCTTAATATGATGAATTAGTTATAGATATTTGATCAACTCAATTATAAGCAAAGCACAATACTTGACCTAAATACTTAAGATATTTGTATCAACCGTGCATCTATGCATCTATAAAAAAAGGGATTATTTTTTTTATATAGCTAACTTTCTGGCAATTTTATATTTTATTTAGAGGTGCATCAAACGTGAACCTTTTAAAAGTAGTCAAAAGTTTTAATTATTTTTAGTATAAAATTATTTCATAAAAATAAAAAGTCAAAAACAAATGAAATATTTTAATAAAAATTAATTAAAATAAAAAAGTTTACAATTTAAACTAAATACATATTATACATTTTTTAGCTTAAACTATAATTCTAAAACAGACAAAATGTCCAACAAAACTACTCCATACGATTGCCAAATACAAATCTCATCTGTCTAGACCGACGAACAAATGAACTTTCATTAAGAAATCGTGCACCAAAATCAAACAATGTATGTTTCAATCGAAATCCATCCAACAACCCCTATACAAAGGGTCACATTCACCAAGAACGATTCTAACTATTATTCGTATGTAAATGTGACTTCATATCACAACAATAAAAAATTTATTTTACACGTTGAAGGATTTATCATATATATATATATATATATATATATATATATATATATATATATATATATATATATATATATATATATATATATATATATATATATATATATATATATATATATATATATATATATATATATATATATATATATATATATATATATATATATATATATATATATATATATATATATATATATATATATATATATATATATATATATATATATATATATATATATATATATATATATATTGAAATATGGAATTTATTTCATTCAATGAAAATTATTGGAAATTTGAATGTAACTCTTTTTTCTACTAAATTATCATTATTTAGAAAATATGAGAGATTAATATTGCAGTAATGATAAGGGAAATGCTAAAGAGTTTCATAGATACTTTTTAAGGTTTTAAAATAATAAGTTTTTTTTTAAATGAACTATAAATTGAAATAATTAACCTTTTTTTATAAATTTTTTTTTATTTGAAATTTTTAAAGTGTAACCATGAAACACTAGCGGTAATCAAACAAAATGAAAAATGCTTTCTGAACAAAAGGAAAATACAAAAGACCGTACATACATAAGTAAAATTACAATCATCTTTAAAATTACATGAATATCACTGAATTTTGTATACATACATTTTACAAAATCAAATGGCCAAGAATATACTCTCTAAATAAATGCTACAAGCCCACCAAAATTATTGTGTCCTTAGATCAATAATGTAATATACTTGACCTATATTTTCGTCTCTCTGCCCCAACACAGATTGGTATCAGTGTAGTTATAATTCAAAAAATAAATGTAGCTATGTACAAACTCAAAGTACTTTCTTGCCCTAAATTAAAATCTTCCTTTTTAATATCTATTCCTTTCTCATACAACACAAAAAAATCCCTAAAAATAAACCATAAAATTAACTCTAAAATTGTTATAAAGCTTAGTATAGTTAGTACTTGGTAGTAGTACTTAGTGGTTAGCTAAATCTTCTTTCAAAGATTGAGATAGGAATCTCAGAAAAAGAAAAAAAGTGATTATATATATAAGTCTATAGGACTGTACTTGGACCGTTAAGTATAGGAGCAGAGAAGCTACCACTGTGTTGAATTGTGATCTTTCCAAACAAAAATCTAGGGTTTTCAACCATTGAAAATTGGTTCCAAATGTTCTCTTTCCCTAATAATTTCCCTTCATCTTCTTCTTCTTCTTACCCTAATAATAATAATAATACCCTTTCTTTTCTTATAGACAGCAACCCTCAAAATAATGATTTTCCATCTCTTCTTGATGATCCACTTTCTTCTCTTCCTTTCACTACATCAACAACACATCATGATGTTGTTGTTCCATTATTCCATGATCATGAAACAACAACTATTGCTTCTAATTTGGCTGTTTCTGATTATCACAACAACAACACTTCAATGTTTGAGCCTCCAGATTCTTCAAACCTTGGTGGTTTTCCTAATTTTCTTGTGACGCAGAAACAACCGTCGGTGATTGTTGGCAAAAAAGATAGACACAGTAAGATTCACACCTCACAGGGTTTGAGAGATAGAAGGGTAAGATTGTCAAGTGAAATAGCTAGAAAGTTCTTTGATCTTCAAGACATGTTGGAGTTTGACAAACCAAGTAACACACTTGAGTGGCTTTTCAATAAATCTGATACCGCAATCAAAGAGCTAGCTAGAACTAAAAACGCGTGTTACAACAACAACGACAACAGCAACAACAACGGGTTTTTTGATTCGAATAGCAACAAATCAATCTCCGGCGGTGGAGCCGACGGTGGTTGTTCCAAAGGGAGAAAACTGAAATGGACACAGAAAGAAGAAACCAAAAAAGAGTCAAGAGAAAGAGCTCGAGCTCGAGCAAGAGAAAGGACTTGTTACAAGATGTGTAGCAGCGGAAGAATGCAGGAAGAAATTCGGTACTCTTCCGCTGCAGATTCAACTGCAAATGCTCAAATGTTGCAACAATTGATCTCATCAACATCATCTCCGGCCGATAATAGTACTGAAACCGAGGCTTATGCGAGATGGCGTCATCTTCTTCAGCTTCAAACCTATAACAATCCTACCTACAGTCAAAATCACCATACCCTAATGGATAGTGAAATACCTAGAGATCATGGCGGATTTAATTTGATTGAAGAATCTATTATGATAAAAAGGAACTTGATGTCGTCGTCTTCTTCGTCTTCATCTCATTATCAACATCATCAACAAAACCTAATTCCTAATGTCCCTAAGGAATTACCGAGTTTCAGCAACAATATTAATGATTACTCTTTATTCCCTTATTCTACTTCAAATTGGGAGAATAATAATGGAGGAATGTCCAACTTTTGTGGAATAGCCACCATGAATTTATCTACATGCTTCATGAACCAGTGGTGAGTAATTAAGAATATATGAAATATATTTAGTATTAAATTCTTTTTTGTGATGATTAGTGTAATTAATTAATGTTTGAGGTGTTGATTTTGTAGAGGTTGAAAAGTATGGAAAATCTTGGGAGGAGTGAAAGAATCAGAAGCAACACAAATTTGCTTGTTTTCGGTAATATCTGATCAGAATGAAACCTCTCAAGTGATTTGCCTTGTAATCATCATCGCATCTTCTCTCAGTGACAACTACTTTAATTTTAATTTTTTTTTTTAATTTTTTTTTCTGTCCTATATTCTCATTTTACAATGTTTTTTTTTTTTAATTTTTTTATTTTGTATTGATTCTTGATGATTACCGGCCAATGGCATATGAAAGTTTTCATAAAGGTTTTCTGTGTTCTGTCCTCAGCCTGTATTATTGATTTTATTATTAAAGTTTGATTAATTAAAAGTTCTGGAGCAACTCATAAGCACCTTTTAATTAGTATTTTACTATTTTATTATTTTTATTTTTTATATATAACTAGTTACTCTGATTTAATAGTGAACTCAGTGATGTAGGAGCAAGAAGAAATCAAGGTTCTGGATAAATTCTATTTTTTTTTTCAGATAGTGTTTGCAGTACGGAAGGTTTCTCAGCATCAAATTTCAAGTTAAAAGGTTACTCTTGTAATTTCTCATAAGCAATTTGATAATCATAAACATAAAAAATATTTTGTGAAAAAAAAAATTATTTTGAATATGTTGAATCTCAAAATACAAGCATAGATCTGAGATATTTAGCTACAAACTTTTCTAAATTCATATCTTTTATGTAATCATTAAAAAAATATTAAATTAAATATCCCAATTTTTTAAAACAAAATTTCAACAAATTCTAACATTTAAATAGTTTGTTTTATTTTATATTAAAGAAACTAATTAAAATTGTATTGGTTTTATATATTTTAGTGAGTTTATTTATATATTTGTAACATTTAAATTGATAAATCCACAAACTTTAAATAATTTGTCTCAATATAAAAATTATGGTCAAAACACAGCAATTTATACTAATTTGCACTTATATAAAAATAAAGCACTGTTATCATAATTTAATACTTTGAGTTTTAGCTTTTCTGAGTATTATATATAAAAGATCCATTTATTACTTGTTCTAATCTTATTAGCACATCTTTCTTTTTCCTATCAAAACAAAATATAAATCCCAACAAAATATATATATATATATATATATATATATATATATATATATATATATATATATATATATATATATATATATATATATATATATATATATATATAATGCTGCAATCCTTTGATCCATCAAAATTGGTTTCAAATATGTGGTGAGTGCAAATGGATAGCTACTGCTACATATTATGTTTCATGAAAGCCACAGGTAGAAGAGTATGTTTGATACCCATATCATATATGTTTTCAAAAACTGCTGTGCTGCGTCGCGATTTGGGTCGAAACAGGTATTACGATACTTATTGCGGACGCCTCAGTGTAAGGGACAGTTTTCTAAAACCTAGATTCATATCCATTAACTTGTGATTTGTCAGAATTCCAATACTTGATTCCTCAAAGGTAAGGCTCAGAGATATTGGTTGAGATGTAGAAGAAGTATTAACCATGAGTGCCCTAACAAACTAACCACCAACATTTTCTGATAAAAGAAAGTTTCAACATTCAATATCTTAAGGCACTCATGAAGAGCTAGCAGAACCCTATGTGTTATAAATGAGGTTGCCACCAAGTATGTCCTTATTGGCTGCCTGCTTTATTGAAGTATCTGAACAAAAGCAAAATGGATGATTAGGGCATATAAATTCATCCACTCAGATTCTTCTTATTACTTTTATAAATCAAGAAATGCATTGATTGCAGAAAAAGGGATTGCAAATTGCAATAACAGTTCACATCTACTCTTATAATCTTCATTTTCCTTTTCCTATTTTGCCTTGTTTGTACATTAGGGTTTGTTTATTCTACACCAGATTAGGGTTTTCTGCTTGGATTTGAAGCTTCTCTTATGTTATTGCATACTGAATTGATACTGAACTGATCTACCTTTGTGGATGTTATCATCAAAAGATGAAATTATAAAACATCTCTCTGAATTCTGAACTGACCTATATGTGCAATTTTGATTATATGCCCTATAATTTTCCTCTGAAAACTGGCTTCTGCTGTGTGAATTCAACGTTACTGTTTCAAAGAGAAATTCAGTTCTTTTGAGTTTTGAAATTGATTTCTATTTCACAACTTAAACTGTGTGAAATAACAGCTTACACAAATGGTGTAGTGGTTACTGATATACAGCAAAACTGGATTCAATGAAATATTGTCTACACGATCAAAAACAAACTCGCACCGACACCGTCACACACCGACAACTGCGTTTACGTTCAGTTTATTATTTTTTTTAAAAGTATTACCAATATCGACGCGCTAGTGTCTGTGTCGTGTCTGATGTTCGTGTGTTTGTTTCATAGCAAACAAGTAGTCTCGGATGCCCTAAACCTAATAACTTTGAGGAATGAAAAATTGAAAGTTATCAAAGATTCAAGGGCTACACTACACAACACTCATTACCTATAAATGCTGTTTTAATCAAATAAAAACAAGTTTAAGAACATAGTCATCTTATTCTATGCTGGTTTTTTCTGATTCTGCTAAATAGGGTTTCTTTGTCTCATAAGCATTGCAAATCTTTCTTGCTACCACTTCCAGCAATTGATTTTATTTTTAATAAAAGTGATATATATCTTCTGTATTCAATATATATGTAAAGTAGTGGTCCACTTGGGAGCTACATTTACGAGTTAGCATTGATAGTCAAACTCAAAAACCAGTTGTGAATAAGCTGGTTTGATAATAAAAAGCAAACAAGTTATTTGCAACGGTATCTTTTTCTGAAATATCATTGCAAAGTGCATTGATTGTGATGTGACAAGTTGACTTGTGAATGAGTTTGGATTGGAAGCTCCTTCTTCTCTTGAAAATGAATAAAGGGAAGCCTAGTTTGTATGTTATCTGGCTTTTGAGGGAATTGGCTACAGTCAATTTCATTACTCCTATCTTGCGTTTCTTTATTTATTTTACCTCTCTTCTGTGTCCTGTGGGACTCTTCATAATCTGTCTACAAGGTTTTAAATTACATCGTTGTAGCGTAAAAGCTTTTGTGATTTCGGACTTTATAGGCATTGTTATATAGATTGTTAAATTCGATGTGAATTAATCAATAATTTCTTTTTAATCATAAAAACGATTAATAACTATATCACTGTCGACACCTTTCAATGCACCACCATGCTGCTTACAATTTTTTAGCTTTGAATTTACCTTAAAATCATTCTTACAAAATTTGCTGATAGACAATGATTTTTCATTAATGATTTTTAAATCATTTTTTAGTTTTATCTCTTTTTAATGCTGGTTTTATTTTTTTCTCATTAAAGAAAATGAACTATGTCCAAATTATTCATATATTTCACTTCTAATGCAGAAGAATCCCTAAAATCTAAGTGTTTTTTTATATTTTAGTTGCTATGATGCGGCCACGCACACAAAATGTTATTAAGGTTTATTTCAAGGGGAAACCTAGTTCTTTTTCTTCTCTATTTTTGGAACTTTCTTTTTTTTGGTTGAGTTTGGTTGTGTCTTGTTCAGTAGTCTGAAAAAGTTTCAAGCTTCTGTTAACCTCTTATGAATATAGCTAGTGTTAGAAAGATAATGAAGAGACTAAAGATAAATGATCCAATGAAAAAAAAAACTAAAACAAATTTTGCTAAAGTAATAAATTATAATAAAAGTTTATACGTAGTATAGAGATAATTGTAAAACAATTGTACGCATACAATTAATTAAAATTCTTATATTTGTTCATTGTTATATCATTATTTTAAAATTAAAAATGTGATTCCCTGGAATATAAGTTATTTATTGATTAACAGGGTAAAATTAATGCACAATTCATTTTAGTTTAAGAAAAATTAGAAAATCATTATATCAAAAAAGAAATAAAATTTTGGATTTGATATATTTGTAAGATTAACACTCCAATACCTTTAAATACAGTTGTATTTTCCGTACTTTCATCCAATAAAACAACAAAATTCAATGTTATATCATATTTTAAAATTATTTTATTTTAAAATAAATTAAAATCTTAAATTTATTTACACTAAAAATAGCCGTACTTGACCAAAACTCTTGCTTAAGATTAACACTCAAATATTTTTAATGTGTATAAATTATCAAATTTTAATTTTCAATTCTTAAAAAATTTAGTTGATTTTATTCTCTAAGGACTATTTTTCAACATCTATACAATTTTCAAATTTTAGTGTTCTTGTCACATTTTTCATGTGGATATTTTCAATGGTTCCGTCTTATTAACAAATTTGTTATCAATTTTGTAAAGTCAATTCAATTTATAAGTGTACAATAACATTAGACATTAGACGCGAATTTAAACCTGCGACATCTTTCTTATTTATTTTTAAAAAGGATGAATATAGCCGATAAACTAATTGACAAAAAAAACAAATGTGTTATTAATTTTTATATTTCAAACAAAACTACAAAATATTGGAACATAAATCTGACTTAGATAAACCATATCAAAATGTACTAATCATCCCAAATAAAAATTATAGACATTTCAACTACATATGTACTTTTTACGAAATTTGTATGCGAATGTGAAACCAAATAGAAAAAAGTATTGTGTGAATTTTCAGACCAAAAATCAGACCAAAAAGTTATAAATCAGACCAAAAACAAAAGTCAAATTGCACTACTTAAGACGAATCAGATCCAATTAAAATACCAACTAAAATTTAGGGTTAAGAAAGGTGGAGGGTGCATTTAGGTGATAGAGAGGGAGAGGAAACATATTCTTATAATTAATGTGTATTTCTCTTTTATTAAAATAACGACTACATATATTGGAAATGGAGTTTAAATTGGATTTTATTATTTTTAAAATAAAGAGTT